CCTTCCTGCTCCTCTGATGCTGCTTGGCCTGCTGTGTTCATCCAGCTCTGCACCTTGTTATCTCTGGTATTGTTTAAAATGCTATTTTTAGCTTTCTCCTCCTATGTCATCTGCTGCCATGCGACTCAATCACTTCTAAGCTTTTCAGTTGTGAAACTCTCCCATAACTCCAGTCAAACCATTTAGCTGTACCACCAAGTCAGCCAATTCATTAGGTGCAACATTTCCCCCTTGCTTCGTTCCTCACCGAAGAAGTCTGGTGTCCTCCTGTTCAGTGTACGAGGTAATGTTGATAACAGTCTCATTGTGTTCTACGAATTTCAGGAACTCATTAGAATCTAGGTAGGAGTCACCATCATCATAACTCTGTCAGAAAAGAAATTAAAATTCTTACCATTATTTTCAAACATCAGATTATTAGACACAAATCTAAATAACTTAGATAGGCCAAGGCACAATATCCAAGGTTTTCCTTAGCATCTTCCATAACTCTGGAACAGATAAAGCTATCTGTAGATCTGCTGAAGTTTCAAATGGACCATCAGAAGAACCCCTGCAGAAGTAAATGCTGGTAGAATGGGGTTTCAAGACATTTACGTAAATGTCCACAAACCAAGCAATATTCCATAATTTACTCACACAAAACACTTTTAGTCAGCAAGCACATAATTTAAAATTGTCACAAATTTCTAGGCTTTTATTTGAATTTTACCTGAACTGAGAGAGGATACTAGTCATGATGAGCATATTAAATCTAAGTTGTGTTCAAGCAGCTAGGACATTGCCCACTAGTGGCACACCAGGGTTTCTGCTCATCTGAGAAACCGGTATTCCTCCCTCACCCTGAAGAAATTTCCTGTAGGCACTAAAAAGACTGGCTTTAAAGGTCAAGCTCCAGCTTAAAGGGGCTTGACAATTTAACAAGTTTGCGGAGAAACTGACCAAAAGATACCAATGCAGATTCTGTTGACTCCCTACTTTATGCATTTGAAGTATTTGACATGTTGTACCTGGCCCAGTAACACTGGTTTTCTTGAGATGGTTTAGTATTTCTATAGTATCCAGCATGGACACAGAAGGGAAAACAAAAGACAGGGATTTGGAGGGCTAACATATAGCTGAGGCAGATGGAGCAATGCAAGAAATAGCAGTCAGAAAATTATTTCTAGAGAGGCAGAGCTCAGGTGCAGTTGTAGTACATAGAATTTGCTTCCACTTGAAAAGAATATATGACAGCACATGAACAAGCAGACGAAGATCTGCAGAAACCTGGAGAAGTCCCAAGTTTGAGGAGAATGAAGCCACCTGAAAATTCAATCTCATTAATTTTTTCATTAAAACCTTTGGCTTTTTACTCCAAACTATACTTATATTATTTATTTCAATGATTTATCTACCGTCAAAAAACTGTGCCAATTTCCTTCATTTAAATTCATATTGCATTTTTTGCCAACAATTTGAGAGTGTTTAAAGAATAAATTACAGTTGTAGATCATATTAAACAATCAGATCCAGCTTCCAGCAAAATTTCCAGGAACCAACTTCCTAATGTTAATGACATAATATGAAAGATTTCTTTGTAATAAAAATTCTTCAAGCTCACTAACTTTTGCCAAATTCCTTTTTTCTTGGATACCTAAAATTCTAAAGAATGTTGACCAAGAAAGAAAAATGATATCCAAGGACAAATTCCAGTACAATACTGTTGAAAGCAGAACAGTAAAACAATGCCCTACACCAAATGGAGTAGAAAACAGTGAACAAAAGAATTTGAAATGAAACAGGAACTAAATATAAACCTCCATCTTGTTGACTACCCAAATGTTACTGCCACAGTGTTGACTGTTTCCAACATATTCCTCATCCCGTTTGCTCCCATACAAACATAAAATCTCAAGCTTTGCATCTCATACATACTCATGTCCAGATTGTCACCTTCAAGATGCAATACAAAACACAAGATTTTGAAAAGCATGAATATTCCAATGTCCCAAAGCCATACGAGAACTTTATCATAAATGTTTTACTATAACAGAAGTACATGCTTTCCTTTACCCTAAGTAAAGATTTACCCTTCTCTGTGGTTGACAAGGCCTTTGACTGAGTTCATTCAATTTCCCAGACTTGCGCTCTCACTCCGTCTTCCTCTCAGAAAGATAGCAGGATTCCCCTTGTCCTCTGCTTTCATCTTACAGTTTCCATATCCAATAGGACATCCTGATCATAGAATCCCTACAGTGTGGAAACAGGCCCTTTGGCCCAACACATCCACACTGACTGTCAGAGCATCCCACCCAGACCCATACCCCTATAATCCAATTAATCTATACATCCCTGAAAACTATCGGCAATTTTCCATGGCCAATCCACCTACCCTGCACATCTTTGGACTGTGGGAGGAAACCTGAGCACCTGGAGGAAACCCACGCAGACACAGGAAGAATGTGTAAACTCCACACAGACCCACCCAAGGCTGGAATCGAACCCAGGGCCCTGGTGCTGTGAGGCAGCAGTGCTAATCACTGAGCCACCATGTCACCCAAATCTCTGTCAGAATCCTCTGACAGTTTCCTAGTGTGTGACCCATTTGCAGAACTTTTCACCTTTTGCTCCATTTCCCTGTTACGCTGATGATCCAGAGGCACTACTGTTGTAGTCACCCCAAACTGTTACTGCTTTGTGGGGACAGGTTACCAAATCCTCTCTCATTCCTGTGGGGATGCAGCAACAGCCTCTGCTACATCCAGGAACACCTCCAAAAACACTACAGTATTTTCAGATACAGAGGTTATTTAAAATAATTTTATTTGCAAGTCTGGTTTTTAAGTATTACTAGGACTGGTCCCAAACTGCAGCTGAATGCTTGATCTTTGAGAGTAATGAATGAATTAGTTGGATCCAAGCTTGGAAAGTGGACTTTAAATTGGCTGGTTGGGCTTTAACAGCTTTACAGAATTATTCAGTTGCTGGACATGCTAGTGAGAATGAATGCTTTCAGGTATACCAGCAGGCTTAAGTAGCCATGTGTAGTAACCAATTTGAAGGTCCCGAAGGAAGAATTATCCCCAGGCCACCCCTGTTGCAAGTAAAGGGATTCTCTTACTCAGAGTATGAGCAGTCAGCTAGGCAAAAGGAAACAGGTCAACGTCAGAACTCTCTTTCATTGTGAATACTGGAATTCAATCACAATTGAAAGGAACCAGAACGACAGAACCTCAATTAAGCTGCAAAACTAAATCTTAAAATCAACTGTTCAATTACCAATATCAACGCTACTGGTAGCCTCCACTGCAACGGCCGCAACATTCAACTATCCACTTTTCACACACAATTCAGAGATTGATCTGTTTTTGAACATTTATCTTCTTAGACAATTACACAGATTAGAAATAATAAGTAAGTGTGTTGCATTACTATTCTTGCATTTCATAATAAACTCACTCCTTTTTAACACAGGAAAGCCTTGTTAAATGGGCTGCTTTCAAAATACAAGTTCATTTGCATCTGGGGGAAAGGTATCCACAAGTGAAAGGATCCATTTTTAAATCAATCCTTTTTCAACCAACTGAGGGGCAGGTGAATAAAAGAGAGGAGCCAGTTCAGCCCTTCTTACCTAAGAGCTTAATGGTTTCGGTTATCCCATTTGGAACCGCAACAAATTGGGGAATATTGCCTAAGGTCTGGGCATAATAGTATACAGGGAACAAACATTGCCATAGCTTGTTGCAGTTGAGAATCTAGCACTGCCAAAGTCATGAGGGTTCAAATATCCTCCTTCCACAATATAATTTCTATGACTGATTTGCTGCATCACATGATGCAATAGACCTTTAATTCCTGCACTTCCTTCATGTCACCTCTACTGCTCTGCATACAATACTGCATAATGGACAAAAATGTTATATAATTACTAACAATGTAATAGAATGATAACTCAAGATTGCTCAGTCGTAATCCTACGTCAAACTGCTACCAAATACCCTTAAGTTTTTCCATGCTTGTTGCTTTGTTTAAGTTGAAGTGTGGACCCTTCATTTTTTTTGTGAAGACCACATGCACTGTCAGTTAAAGGTACTGACCTGAGTGCAGGCTAAGCAGGAACGTTTAAGTTGCTGTGTGCTAGTGCTTAGAGGGAACATTGATTACTTCGCACTTTATTTGTATTTTGTTGAGATCAAGCCCTTGCCTACCGTGAAGTATTTGTTGAGAATATTTGTATAGTTGATGCCCTTCGAGAACCACCCATCAGGAACGACTTCAGTCTCCAGCCATTCCATGACACGGCGCCGAAGCTCATCACGGTCTGTCTGGTAGCAGACAACTACAGGAGAAAGGATCTGATGTTAATCAACGGCTTTGTTCAGTCATAGGAATAGGCCATGATTATCCCGACAACAGCACTATAATACAGTACAAGTGACAACTTCAGTCAGATGTTGGTTGCTCACCTAGAACTGACTTACAACTCAATGTGCAAAAGTGAAACAAATTATAGGATACATTTTACTTTGAGGGTCAAAACTAAAGACCATTAAACAGCAAACAGTACTTTATCCAAATACACCCAAATTGATAGGCCCTACAAACTAAATAACAGACCGGCTTACTTAGTCCCATGCCTCTGAAGTCAGCCATTGAGCTGCATGAGGGCAATGGTGATAATCTTGTGAAAAGAATCAGTTTAATCATGAAGAAAGAATCAAGAAAAAAGTACCTTTCTTTTGTTTCCAGTTGTTTTTTTCCACTAAATTATCACTTGTCTCAAATATTAATTTAGTATTTAGTTCCTAGTTCAGTGTTCGTGCACTAACAGAACCCCAATCTATTAACTATAATATTAGCAACAATGATAATAACAACACACTAATCTTTTAGACCTAACATCGTCATAAATAACGTGAGAATCAGAACAAAGAAGCTTTTCATGTTTCTCTTAATCTTGCTTGCAAAGCAATGAACTGAGTGGTGCCAGTAATGTATTAAAGACACTCTAGACTTGAGTGACAGCAATAATCTAGCTTTTTAAACTCTGTCTCCACAACAAACCTTTTAAAGCTTGTTTGAAGCCAAAAGGTTGTCATGAGCCTATGGGTAGGATTGAGAGTCTAAGCTGTGATTATTATAACAAAGTTGTCAATGCAAGATACCTTAGGAAGAAATCTCATCAATACCTGGCGACATAGTAGTCATTTCCATAGAAACAGCTGACAGTTACAGAATTCCTCTTAATTAAGAATAGTGAAATATCAAGCTGTAATCTGAGCTGTTCTTACCCACGACAACTGGTGCAGTTCATTGCAGGTTCAATCAGGCATTAGAAATATCAAGCTAACTGACACTACTATAATCTTTAACCACTGCATTATGGCATCAGTATAGAATTAAAGGCAGAAGATCTTTTTGGGTCTTATTGCTTTGCTTTATAAGAACTGCTGTAGTATATTGCAACTGTGCCAAATTTACAACCCTAGTTCATACTGCTTACAAATCCCTCTGTACATCATGGATGCAAAACCAAGGCCATAACATGATTTGAAGCTATGAGAAATTCACAGTACACTGTATAAACTTGAATGCAGGAATGTCACAAGAAGACATCTTTTTCTTCTATAAGAACTGTCTAATTACCTAGAGCAGAAAGGTCAATCTAACTTGCACTGTAACTCTCTTTTAGACTTACATTTCACAGATGAAAATCTAGAATCAGTGTCATTCAAATATCTTCTGTGTTACGTTGACACTGATTTTATATGTTTTGCTTACCTTACTCAGGGTAGAGGATTAGACAATGTGATAATGTCATCCCAGCTACTGAGATCTACAGTAATTAGTGCAGTGCAGATATAGAACTGGTCACATAACAGAATTACATTAACAACATAATTACTTCCCCAGTGATAATCTCTTAAATCTGTTCATTTGAGCACAAAGTTTCTTTTCATATTATTCATTCGTAGGATATGGGTGCTGATAGCTGGCTAGCATTTATTGTCTGTCCCTAATTGCCCTTGAGAAGATGGTGGTGAGCTACCTTCTTGAATCACTTAAATCCACGTGCTGTGGTTGATCCACAGTGCCATTAGGGAGGGAGTTCCAGGTTTTGACCCAACAACATTGAAAGGACAACAATATATTACTTGATCAGGATAGTGAGTAGCTTGGAGAGAAATTTGCAAGTGACAGTGTTTCACGTATCTGCTGCTCTTGTCTTTCTATATGGTATTGGTTGCAGGGTTGAGAGATGTTGTCTAAGGAGTTTTGGAGAATTTCCACAGTGCATCTTGTAGATGATACGCACTGCTGCTACTGAATGGAGGTATGAGGTAGTGAATGCTTGTGGATGCGGTGCCGATCTAATGGGCAGCTCTGTCCTGGATGGTGTCAAGCTTCAAGTGTTGTTAGAGCTGTGCCTATCCAGGCAAAGAGGGAGTTGCATCACAACCCTGACTTGTGCCTTGTGGACTCTGATCAAGCTTAGGGGAGTTGGGAGGAGAGTTACTCACTGCAGTGTTCCTAGCCTCTGACCCACTGTGGTATTTGTATGGCAAGTCCAGTTAAGTTGCTGGCCAATAGCAAGTAACCCCTTCCCCACCAGAAGAAAATGTTTATTGTGGGGAATTCAGCCACGGTAATGGAACCAAGCATCAAGGACTGATGGTTAGATTCTCTCTTGCTGGAGATGTCACTTTCTGGCACTTGCTGGACAAATTCAGCAGGTCTGGTAGCACATATAGAGAGAGAATCAGAGTTAACGTTTAGAGTCTGATATGACTTCTTCAGTACTACTTTGTTTTCTGCCTGTTTAGGACTTCCAGCATCAACAACATTTTGCTTTAATTTGCTAATTATTAGCCTGTAGTCTAGATACTGTCCGGGGTTTGCTGCTTTTAGGCAGAGACTGATTCAGTATCTGAGGGGTGACAAATGGTGCTGAACATGGATGATTGCGCAATGAACATCCCCAACCTCTGACCTACTGATGGAGAACAGGTTGTTGATGAAGCAGCTAAAGATGGGTTCAGCCTAGGTCACTACGAGAAACTCCTGCAGAGCTGCCCTGGAGCTGAGATGACTGACCTCCAAAAACTGCAATCATCTTCCTATGTACCAGGTATGACTCCAACCAGCAGACAGTATGCCTCCTGGTTCCCACTGATTTGCTAGGGCTCCTTGATGCCACACTCAATTGAATGTAGCCTTGATGTCAAGGGCTGTCACTCTCACTTCACTCTCAATTCAAGGCTTTTGTCCATGTTTGAACTAAGGCTGAAATAATGTCAGGAGCTGAGTGGCCCTGGCAGAACCCAAACTGGGCGTCACTGAGCAGATGCTGCTTGACAGCACTACTGATGTCACCTTCCAACACTTTACTGATAATCGAGAGTAGATTGATGGGCAGTATTTGGCTGGGTTGTATTTGTCCTGCTTTTTGTGTACAGGACATACCTGGACAATTTTCCACATAGTCAGTAGATGTCAGTGTTGTAACTACAGGAACAGCTTGGCTATGGGAATAGCAAGTTCTGGACCACATCTTTAGTTTTATTGCTGGAATGTAATCAGGACCCATAGCCTTTGCAGTATCCAGTACCTCCAACTATTTCTTGATATTATGTGAAGGTAATTGAATTGGCTGAAGACTGGTATCTGTAATGCTGGGGATCACTGGAGGGGGCCGAGATGGATCATCCAATCGACATTTCTGGTTGTGAATGCTTCAGCCAAATCTTTTGCACTGATGTACTGGGCTCCCCATTATTAAGAATGGGGATATTTGTGGAGCCATCTTCTCCAGTGAGCTGTTTAATAGTTCATCATCATTCACAACTGGATGTGACAGGACAACAGAGCTTAGATCTAATCCATTGGTGAAATCATTTAGTCTTGTCTGTTATTTGCTGCTTATCCTTTTTGGCATGCAAGTAGTTCGGTGTTGTAACTTCACCAGCTTGTCACCTCACTTTCAAATATTCTTAGCGCTCCCAATTTTGGTATTAGCCCTACATGTTAGTAAGGACGACTATGCAGAGTTGATAGGTCTGAGTTTACTGTTGCCTAGGCCTTTTCAACAGGCAGTTAAGAGTCAACCACATTTCTGAGAGTCTGGAATCATATCTTGGCTAGATCATGTAAGAAGGCACAAAGAAGGATGGCTGTGGATGTTGGAGGTTAGTCATCTCCATTCCAGGACATCTTTGCAGGAGTTTCATTATTACTTCACAGGATGAAGGCATCACTAGGCCAGCAGTTACTGCCGATCCCTAATTGCCCAGAGGGCAGTTAAGAATCAACCACATTGCTGTGGGTCTGGAGTCACATCTAGGCCAGATCAGGTAAGGACGGCAGCTTCTTTCCCTATAGGATATAGGTGAACCAGATGGGTTTTCTCAACAATTGAGTCATCATTAGACTCCTCATCCCAGACTTCTATTGAATTCAAATTCCACCATCTACCATGGCAGGATTTGAGCCCAGATCCCCAGAACATTACCTAGGTCTCTGGATTAACAGTCCAGCAATAATACGACTAGGCTATCACCTCTGTTTCCTCAGGGTAGTGTCCTCGACCCAACTGTCTTCAATTGCTTCATCACAAGGTTAGAAGTGGTGATGTTCGCTGATGATTGCACAATGTTCAGGGCCATTCACAACTCCTCAGACACTAAAGCAATCCATGTCCAAATGCAGCAAGACCTGGAGAATATCCAGGCTTGGGCTGAAAAGTGGCAAGTAACATTCAAGCCACACAAATGCCAGGCAATGACCATCTCCAACAAGAGAGAATTGACTCATCATCCCTTGACACTCAATGGTAAGACCATCACTGAATCCCACAATACCAAATATTGACCAGTAAGTGAACTGGACTAACAATATAAATACGATGGCTACAAACATATGTCAGAGGTTAAGAATCCTGCAGCAGATAATTCACCTCCTGACCCCAAGCCCTGTTTCACCACCTACAAGGCACAAGTCAGGAGTGTGTTGGAATACTCCCTACTTGCCTGGATGACTGCAGCTCCAACAACACTCAAGTAGCTTGACACTATCCAAGACAAAGCAGCCTGCTTGATTGACACCACGTCCATAGACATTCACTCCTTCTATCACTGAAGCTCAGTATCAGCAATGTGTACTATCTACAAGATGCACTGGAGAAATTCATTAAGTGTCCTTAGACAGATCAAACTCATGACCCCCTTCATCTCGAAGGATAAGGGCAACAGATACATGGTATTGCTACACTTGCAAATTCCCTCAAAGCCACTCACTATCCTGACTCAGAAATATATCACTGTTCCTCCAGTGTCGCTGGGTCAAAATCCTGAAACTCCCTCCCTTATGGTATTGTGGGTCAAGCTACTGCACATGGATTGCAGGGATTCAAAAAGGCAGCTCACTACCATCTTCTCATGGGCAACTAGGGATGGGCAATAAAATGCTGGCCAGTGAGTGACACCCATGGCCCATGCATGAATAAAAATGTCAGAATTCCTTTCCTAAAGGACATCAATGAACCAGATGAGTTTTTGCAACAATGAACAGCGGTTTCATTTTCATCTTGCATTGGAATCAAGTCAGACTCTCACTAGCCAGAATACTGGAGGAACAATGCTTCTAAAACTAAAAAATTTCAAAATTTATATGAGAAAGAATTTCATACAACTGCTCTTTAATTTCCGCAGTACATAGCATAGATATTCTTTCTCTCCAGCAGATGACAGTAGAAATTCAAATCCCATTTCAGATAGTTAATTACTGCAGCACTTCGATCTTCTAAAAATCTGATATGAATAACAATATACAGTTTGCAGAATTATTGGCTGATGCTGGAATTGGACTAATTCTGAGCTCAAAGGCCCAGAGCATTATTTAATTGGAATTGGTTGCTCTGGAGCATGAGTGTTGAGCGTGCTCAGTTTTTTAAATGATAATTTGCTTTATATACATTCACTATGATATATTTCCTTGATGTTTAAATTGCAGCAAACTAATCTAACCAGTAAAACCATTCCAACCAAATATTGCCAGTCTCACTGAATATGGAATTGTAATTTTTCCTAAAAAAAAATTACTGTAGTCCACATTTCATACAACAACAAGGTGTAGATGCAAACAAGGAGGCGTAATTATTGGCAAGTCTCATAATAGTCCCATAATAGATGTTGGACTCTATAAGCTGAGGAAAAAGGACTTTTCTTCAGCCTCACTATGTATGATGCCAAAATATCTGAAATCCTAGTTAAACCACCTAGACATGGACAGTCACACAGGCATTAATGTCCCACAGAAATCATAGCTATTCTATACCTGGACTACTGGCTGCTGTTTTTTCATTCTTCTTTTCTGTAAAAGAAATCCAAAAAGGAATCCATGAATAAGTTGCATCTCTTCATTCATGACGTTATTTCATTTAAGGCCATGTTGCTGTCCCATGTGAACCACTGATCTCAAAAGCAATGATTTTTCCTGGTTTACCTTCACAATGGCCATCGTGAGCGACCTGAATCTTCATACCAGTGAGGCACGCATCACGATGAAGCTCACAGTGGTTACGATAAGTCTTTCCATTGCTTCCACAAACCACTCTCTTGTGATGCTTGCATTCCTTAAAGAAAACACAGATGTATTAGAAAGCAGTGCAAGTTCATCCACTATGAATTTGCGGTCCTTGTACACTCTGCTTCACCAAGCTCAGCATCAGTCATCACAACAAGAGATAAAATATGCTTTAGTTTACAGTACTGTTGAAAACAAAAATCCAACATATTCCTGAAATATGTACTCAATCTGTTCTATAGCCAAAATTTATTGAATAACCACTTAATTCACTAAATCACAGGGCACTATGAAATATTGCACTTTCATAATGTCATACCATTTTCATACCAACATATTCCTGAAATATGTACTCAATCTGTTCTATAGCCAAAATTTATTGAATAACCACTTAATTCACTAAATCACAGGGCGCCATGAAATATTGCACTTTCATAATGCCTTACCATTTCATAAATGTTCCACTGGCCAAAATTTCACACGCTGCCTCCTCCAATGAATTGACCTGGGAGTTGGTGGAGGTGTGTTAAATCAGACAGCATGGGTCATCATGCCCATTACTTTCCTCATTTAATCATATTTTATCATTGACAGGTGGCATGTGCCCCACCTGCCCTTAGGCCAATATGCAATCAGATTTAAATGCCCATGATTGCATTGGCAACCTGGGAAATAAAAACATATGGGAGATTAACCTTTAACGTCAAATGATTCCATGGGCACACTAGAGGACTGGCAAACCCAGTGCCTGCATGTAATGAACATTTTTTTGCCTTAACTGTAGAACTGGCCCAAATTGGCCTTTACCCAGCCTGAAACCAAAGACACGTACAATAACATCACATCACTGGATCTCCCAAGATGGAAATGGTTTATCATACCCATGATCCAACAAAACATATCCTTGTACAAAGCCCTGGCAGCAAATTTAACTTTCAAGTTACTATTAACCAAGATGGCAGAAAAACAATTAAATGTACACACAACTGTTTCTCTTTGCAGAGGATGGTTTGATCTGTTTTTCTCTGGCTATTTAACCAAGCTGTACATTTGTTTAGGTTAAGTAGACAAATGCAAAACATTTATCAGTCATTCCTGGCAACAATAATTTCTACAATGTCTGTTGATATATTTTCGGCTCAACCTTTAAGTGTGAAGCATTCCTGGCTATTTTGAAACGGACTGAAAAATGACCCTTTAAAAGAACGTGTGACCTTTAGGGCCATTGTCCTATTAAGCAACATAGATTTTTTTTTGTTTTCTTTCTGATATCCATTCCCATAATTATTTATTTAATCCTTTGAAGCCCTGCTAAATGAAATTTTAATAGATCCGCTCCACAGGGCATCCTGGGCAAGGCACTTGTTATATTCCTCAGCACAGTGAGAGCTGTCAAGCACAACGTTTATCAACATATTTCTATCGTACTTTATGAAAGGAGCCGTCTATGCTTTAAGTTTTCATACTTTTCTAAATAAAATAAACCAGACAAAAAGATGTTAAGGCATTTTACTCTATGTTCAGGCATGTCACTTTAAAGTTACTATTTCGAGAAATTAGAACACTTCTTTTAGATGTGAGTCTTATTTTACATACAAGATTCTCTGAAAGGGAGCAGTTATCCTAGAACTTTTCCTCAAATGAAGATCCACAGTCCTGTTCTAATGCAACTCTCTACAAGCCACCAATGACTGACCAAGCACACCAAGAGTCACAGCTTTTTCAGTTCTAAATGTTTATATTTATTTTGTTGGATTTAAATTCTCCTTACAGCAGCAACGCTATGTGAAGCTCTTTTCTGTTTCGACTCCAGAAATGTTTTGTGGGTTGCTGACCTCATATCACTGCCGTGGATGGGCCTGCTCTCCCTATAGATCAGCGTGCTTTAATCTGAGATTGTAGCAAGTCCAGAAATCAAACATTAAACTCTTGAATGGTTTTATCCGATGAACTCATCCGATTTTTCTTGGATTTTTAATTACTAGTTACTTTATGTGACTTTGTGTAACTTTCTTTGACTTTTTGATTAGGTAGTTTCATAAGACCATAAGATACAGGAGCAGAATTAGTCCATTCGGTCCATTAAGTGTGCTCCACCATTCAATCGACACGGTGGCACAGTGGTTAGCACTGCTGCCTCACAGCACCAGGGACCTGGGTTCGATTCCAGCCTCGGGCGACTGTCTGTGTGGAGTTTGCACATTCTCCCCGTGTCTGCGTGGGTTTGCTCCAGTTTCCTCCCACAGTCCAAAGATGTGCAGGTTAGGTGGATTGGCCATGCTAAATTGCCCGTAGTGTTCAGGGAGGTAGAGGGTGTATATTAGGTGGGTCATAGGGGGATGGATCTGGGTGGGATGCTCTGAGGTTTGGTGTGGACTTGTTGGGCTGAAGGGCCTGTTTCCACACTGTAGGGATTCTAATCATGGCGCATATATTCCTCAACCCCATTCTCTTGTCTCCTCCTGATAACTCTTGATCCCCTTACCAATCAAGAACTTATCTATCTCTGACTTAAATACACACAATGACTTACCTTCTGTGGCAATGAGTTCCACAGATTACCCACCCTCTGACTGAAGAAATTTCTCTTCGTCTCAGCTCTGAAGGGTCATCCCTTCACTCTGAGGCTGTCCCCTCCGGCCCTAGTCTCTCCTATTAGTGGAAACATCTTCTCCATGTCCACTCCATCCAGGCTTCTCAAAATTCTGTAAGTTTCAATCAGATCCCCCCCTCACCTTTCTAAACTCTATCAAGTACAGATCAACAGTCATCAACCACTCCTTATATGACAAGCCCTTTATTCCCAGGATCATTTTGTGAATGTCCTCTGGATCCCCTCTAACATCAACACATTCATCCTTAGATACTGTATGGGACCCAAAACTGCTCACAATATTCCAAATGTGGTCTAATCAGAGCTTTACATAGCCTCAGCAGTATATCCCTGTTCTTGTATTCTAGTCGTCTTGAAATGAATGCTAATGTCGTATTTGCTTTGGTATGAACGCCCCCTCTAGGTGGCACGGAGAGCAGAAGGCTACCAAGATTCTCAAGTGCTGAAAAGCAGCTGTCTATCTAAAGATGATGCTGCTAGTCTGCCTACCATTAGGGACCAAAAAGGCACAGTGAGCAAAGCCAGAAAACATAGTGAGGTTTTTAATGAGTACTTTGCATCTGTATTGACTATAGAAGAAAGACAATGCAGCTATGGAAGTCAAAGAGGGGGACTGCAGCCTATACGTGAACAAACTAGCATTAACAGGAAGAAGGCACTAGAGGTTTTAGGAGGCTTAAAACTGAATAAGAGGGGGGAAGCTGATTGAGATGTATAAAGTTATGAGGGGCATAGTTGGGGTAGATAGGAATAAACTTTACCCCTTAGTAGGAGGGGATCAATAACCAGGAGGTATGAATTTAAGATAAGGACAGGAGGTTTTGAGAGGTCTTGAGGAAGATTTATTTTCATCCAGAGGGCAGTGGGTATCTGGAACTCACTGCCTGAAAGTGTGGTAGAGGCAGGAACCATCACAACATTTAAGAAATATTTACATGAATATTTGAAATGCCATAGCAGACAAGGCTACGGGCTAGTGCTAGAAAATAGTACTAGAGTAGATAGGTGCTTGATGAGCAGTGTGGACACAATGGGAAAAAGTGCTTCTTTCCATGTTGCAAAACTTTATGACACTACAAAAATTCACAAGTAGATGTGATAGAGCAGCAGAGCTTTGATCTGACCATTTGATTGGGGGAAACTGAGTGCTTCTCCATCCAGTCAGAGAGTAATACAGCATGGAAACAGGCCCTTCAGTCCAAACTGGTCCATGCTGACTATGGTGCCCACTCAGCTAGTTCCAAATGCCCACATTTAGTCCATATCCCTCTAAACCCTTCCATCCATGTACCTATCCTAATGTTTGTTAAATGTTGCTTTTGTACCTGCCTCAACCACTTTCTCTGGCAGCCCATTCCATATGTGCACCAATCTCTGTGTGAAGAAGTTGCCGTTCAGGTCCTTCTTAAGTCTTTCCCCTCCCTCCTTAAACCTATGCCCTCTAGTTTTCAATCCCCCATTTCTGGGAAAAAGACTATATGCATTCATCCTATGTATAATTTTATACACCTCAATAAGGTCACCCCTTATTCTCCTACATTCCAAGGAATAAAGTCCTACCCTAGCCAATCTCTCCCTATAACTCAGGCCTACTTGTCCTGACAACATCCTTGAAAATCTTCTTTGCACACTTTCCAGTTTAACTATGTCTTTCCTATAACAGGGTGACCAAAACTGTACACAATACTCCAAGTGCGGCCTCACCAATAACTCATACAACTGTAACACAACATCCCAACTCGTATACTCAATGCCACCACTTCTTCACCACCCTGTCTACATGTGACATCGCTTTCGCCAAACTATGTACTTGTATTCCCAGGTCCTTCTGTTCCACGACACTCCTCAGGACCGTACCATTTACTGTATAAGACCTACCTTGGTTTGACTTTCCAAAGTGCAACACCTCACACTTTATCTGTACTGAATTGCATTTGCCAATCCTCAGCCCACTTCCCCACCTGATCAAGATCCCTCTGTAATTTTTGATAACCTTCCTCGCTATCAATGATACTTCCTAATTTTGTATTATCCGCAAACTTACTAATCATGCCTTGTACGTTCACATCCAGATCATTTATGTATATAACAAATAACAAAGGTCCCAGCACCGACCCCTGTGGCACACCACCAAACACAGGCCTCCAGCCTGAGAAACAAACTTCAACCGTCACCCTCTGCTTCCTACCATTTAGCCAATTTTGAATCCAATTAGCTAGCTATCCCTGGACCCCAGTATGCATGTAAATCCTGTGTTGTAATTTCAACAGGTTTGCATTGCATTTTTAAGAGCTCCTGGCATGTTTTTCTCTATTGAATCACAGCCTGACAGGAATGGGACAGTGAGAGACATTGGTTTCCAAGAGGCACAGGGTGGCTTGTTCACTTATCTGAATATTAATTAGAAGTAACAGTTTACAGCACCAGCGAAGGAAAAATAGAAAGGTTTTCTTCAGCCCTAAAGTGGCTTTTACTGCAGGGAAGAGAAAGCTCTGAAAGGTTTTCTGTATCTTGTTCACCATTCCAAGCTGTTGCTACCTGAGAATCAATCACAGAGCTATTAGCAAGGAGAAGGCCTTTGTCATCAATAACTAGACACTAGTCCACAAACCAACTAGCTATTCATACCAACCAAATCTCCACCTGTACACAACCCTCTGCCTCAGATGGTCTACAACCACACTTTAACCACTGCTCACCAAGCAGCTGTGCTAACAGTGCTTACAATGAGTGTCAGATTACTTGCTTGTAAAACATGCCAGTTATACAGCCATCCTTAGTTTCAAAATACGACTTTTCTCACTTCAGTCCACAATTAAACATACAGAAAAATAACAAGACATGTCTTTACAATATGGATGAAAATGAATGCTAGGGCTGGTCACCTAACAATCAAGACTTGGGCCTGGATCTTGCAATATCCTCAGCTATGAGCCCTTTAACTGCCTGTGAATAAGTGCAGATCAAAGGACCAGCCACCTCCAAATGACAGGGGCTGTGCAAACTGGTTTCTCAGTTTGGTGGGCTGACTGTCTTACACTGTGCCTGGAGTGAAGAAAACAGGCACTGAATAGGCTTTAAGTGCTCACTAATTGATCACTTAAGGATTTCAATCGAGGTTAGAAGGTTGAGCTTGGGCCTTCTGACCCACAAATTAACTCAAACATAGACGAGAAGATGGTGAGGTTCTGGGATCCACCATCCCATTAAATGCACTCCACCTTCAGGACTGGAAGATTCACCTTTAATTTTTCTTCAGTTGAGGAACAAGACAGAGCAACAAATGAGTAAACTTACTGCAATGCACAGGCACGTGGGTTCACCCTTCTCCGTCACCGCACACTCCCTTCCAGCACCGCAAAACACATTGGCACAAATCTTGGACTTGCTACTCATTTCCTGTAGCAAAAACAAAACACATCAGTAAGTCAGAGCTATGCAAAAGATTATCAGCGCTACATTTGTGTTTGATCAGCAATGTCCATAAGTTTAATTGTAAATTTATAGTGTCAATATTTTCTCATTAAATTTCCTTAAAGTAGGTTATCTGGAGCTGACCAAGGTGGGGAAAGTTCTAATTATCACAGGCCTAAAAATTCTGCAGAGGAGCTGCCAATGAACCAGAGAGATAGTTACACTACCATCAACTTATTTCTTCATCCATTGGAGCAGTAATTGGAACAAAACCCATGTGAGAAACAAAAGAGTAAAAAGTATGCTACTAACTGAGCCATAACTGACTTAGCAAGTAACATCCATGTGAAACACAAGCCACACACTGCTGTAATTACCATTCCCATCTGACTGAGGGGCAAAAGTAAGATGTCTTTGAGAATCAGTATTTAGGAAACAGTCATTCAGAAAGCTGAATTTTGCTCTTACCCAGGATTACCTGTAATATGCATTTTGGCCACTAGATGGCGGTGAAAGATCGTGCAGTGAAAGTGAAAACAGAACTGGGTGAGGGGTGGAGGCGGGAAACTCTTAAGTTCAGAAAATCGGAAATAAACACAGAAAATGCTGCAGATACTCAACAGTTATGGCTACATTTCAGGCCATGGATCCTTCATGGAGCAATCTAAATGTGGTACCCACATCAAAGACAATGAAAACCAACACAGCTTTAATGCTGAACTTACAAAACAAGAGAAGGCTATTAGCTCCTTGACCACATTTCACTATTCACTTCATAGCTGATCTGTAACTGACTCCATGTACCTCCCTTAGCTTCGTATGCATTACCTTTTGACTAACAAAATCTATTAAATCTTGGGCTCGAAATTAAGAGTTGATCCAGCATCAATTGCCATTTGAAGAAGATGGTTCCAAAACTTCTGCTCCCCCCTTTAAACTGACAAGTTTTAATATGCCGATAAAAAAGAGACCCAACATTTCTGGCCTGTACAAATTATCAAGTTCTGCTTCGTAGAACAGATCTGGCCATACCAGCCACAACCTCAAACACGCGACACCCTTAATACAGGGAAATATCTCCAGGCGCTTCCCAGGAGCAAAAAGTCATTACCGAGCCAGAGGCTGAAATGTTAGCAGCAATGACTACACGTGGCTAAAGAGGTAGGTATCAAGTTAAAAAGAGGAGGAAATGGTGGGGCCTGGACAGATGAAGATTCAAGTGCTAGTGGTGGGGTGACAGGAACAGGGAATGTAAAAGAGGCCAGGGATGCAGAACTGAAGTATGTTATATAGATGGGAAAGAAAAAGGCCATGGAAGGATTTGAATACAAGAGTGAAAATTAAAAAAAGAAATGAGTTGTTGTTGAACCAGGATCCAATGCAAGTTAATAAACATATGGGCACAAAAGTTGAACTTGCTCCTAATTAGGATGAAGAGAGTTTCTTAGAACGTAGAAGTAAGATTGTGAATCCAGTCATAAGTGGACAGTTGTGTGAAAACTGTGCTTAGGTCAGCAGGGTTGGAACTATAGGGATGATTAGGTCACTGGTTCAAAATTAACTACATACTCAATCGTTAGAGGACAATGTTGTATTTCCGAGTGCACAGTAGGATTAACAAGCTGTCTTCAGCAAAGAAAATTACGTCTTTACAGCCAATTGTATCCAACTTTCCAGCTTTACCAATAATGGGTGCCAGTTCATAAACAAAGTTGCTGGAAAAGCTCAGCAGGTCTGTCAGCATCCTCATCCTTGACCTTTCCTCAGAACCAGACCTGAAATGTTAACTCTTGATTTTTTCTTCACAGATACTGCCAGATCTGCTGAGTTTTTCCAGCACCTTCTGCTTTTGTTCCTGATTTACTGCATCCACAGTTCTTTTGGTTTTTATGGGTGCTAGTTCTATTGGATCAGACTCTCTCTTTCCAATGCTCAGGAAACCCATGTCGGCTGGTCCAAACTGGCTGTACCCGAGACTACAATCTTATAAACAGCAGCTAATTCACAGCAGGTTCCCTTTCTCCTGGAGTCGATACATAGTGAGCATGACCTTAGGTAAAGTGATGTTAAGACTGCCATTTTAATGACTATTGCAAATGCAATTTTCCTCGACATTGGTGTTTTCGTTAAGGTCAGTGGGTTTCCGAAGTCTATAGGAACAATGCAAAGTTTGTGAACTTTGGAGGAAGGCTGTTATGAAATGGGAAACTTTGACAGGTAAGTCTCCAACTTCAAGTATAATAATCTCATGTCATATATCTCATGCTTTTGGCATGTTTTCAATTGAGTGACTATCCTCAGAATGGTAAATGACCGTAAAGTACTTTGTCTTATAGGTAAAAGTGCTCCTCAGCATTTAATAATATCAAAATCCAAGTCAAAGGGGTTACCTGGACACTGTATTGAGTTTTATATTGATGTAAAGTGCCGTACAGAGAACTGTTGAGCTTTTGAAAAAACGTTGGAATTGCATGGGGCCTTTAAAACAAATGAAGCAGATTCCTGGACATCTGGTCAGCCAGTCTCAGAGGCAGCATTGTGTCAAGCTCTGTAGGGTATATTTATTCAGTTTTGCAACTTGATTCCAATATGAATGCATGATTGAGTTCCAAATCTATTAGTGAATTTAGCTCAGAACAAGTTGTTGACATAGCTGTGGAAGGAATTCTACAATTTGTTTATGATTATAAATCATAAATCAGGTTACAGCTTTTTAAGAGATTTACCCAAGCTTTCAAAGGCTTCCTGTGTTAGTATCTTGTTCATGTTTTGTACATAGTAGGTACTGGTGAGTGGGCATTAAGGATGCATAGGGGCATAGTGATGCATCTGGGACATGGAAAGTGTGTTGGGGGAGGGTTCACGGGGAGTGCTGGGTAGCCTAACAACTGTGTGAAAAACTGAGTCACAGTCTCAGTGCACGAAAGCATTTAGCCTTCTAGTGTCCTCAGTATGTGTCCAACTCCATTCTACCTTGGGCCTGTTGTTTCAGGAGACAGCAGCCACAACTCCAGCCCAACCTAATTCTGGAAGGTGAAAGTTTTTTGTGAACGGGCTGACTTTCAAAAGTTGGGAACGTGACCTCCAGGGAGATGGTGATGTAGTGATAATGTCAAGGATTGGAAATCCAGAGGCTGAACTTAAACACTCTGGGCCCGTGGATTCAAATCCCACCACGACAGGGGCTAGAATTTGAATTCAATCAATAAATCTGTCATTGGAAGCTAATCTCCACAACAGTGAGCATTACATTGTCAGTTATTGTTATAAACCATCGGACTCAATAATGCTCGTCTTACCTGGTCTGACCTACTTGTGACTCCAGAGCCAAAGCAATATGGTTGACTTTCAACTGCTCTCTGACATAGAATCCCTATAGGAAGCAGGCCATTCAGCCCATCAAGTACGCACCAACTCTCCGAAGACCATCTCATCCAGATCCACCACTCTTATTCTATCCTATCTCTGTAACCCTGCATTTCCCAGGGCTAATCCACTTAATCTGCATATCCCTAGGCAACTTATCATGGCCAGTGCACCTAACCTGCACACCTTTGGACTGTGGGAGGTAACTGGAACATCCAGAGGAAACCCAAGCGAACCCGGAGAGAATGTGCAAAAAATCCACGCAGACAGTCACCCAAGGCTGAGATTGAACCCAGGTCCTTGGGACTGTGAGGCAGGAGAGCTAACCACTGAGCTACCGTGCCACCACGTACTGGCATGTCCTACTGAGCCTCCCAGTTCAAGGGGAAGGCCTGCTCTTGCCCAAGATGCTCACATTCTGTGAAAGAACTTTTTAATCTGGGAGGCTCAAGCTGGGCCACTTAAAAAAGTGTAAATCCAGCTCATTCCCGCTGAAGTGTTTGTCCCAGCAAGCCTCCAGGCTGCCGACTTAAAACAAGTGTTTTAAAAAGTATAGAATATAAAAAGCATTTTGGTAAACCCATTTCCAGAGGTGTAAATTTCAAAGAAACTGGTGTAAACTTTTGTTCTGACAAAAAGTCAATGACCTAAAAGGCTAATCAGTTTCTCTCTCCAAAACAAATGTTGCCTGACCTGCTGGGCATTTCTAACATTTTGATTTTTTAGTTCAGATTTCTAGCAATTATAATATTTTGCTTTTCCATGTTGTGCTTCAGTTTAGCTTCCTCCAAACTCTCAGGCCAGTATGTGAATGATTCAATCAACAAATAAAATCACTTAAAAATACATATTCAATAAAACTGAGCAGCATTTGACAAACTGGCTTTGAGATGACGGTAACAGAATAAGATTACATAGTGAGTAATGTTCCTGTCTCTCTGCTCACTGCTCCAGGCATGAGCCCTAACCCAGACTTGGATGGTCAAGAAAAGTGCATGCACATCGTAGCCAAGAAGAGGAGTACCAAGCTGCAAATCCTCCATGCCAACAGCAGAGGTCCCCGGTCAGCCACTCGATTGGGAAAGGATGTTAAACCTTGACCATCATTATCTATAGCTCCAGACTACAACCTGCTTTCCAAGCTCATATGGGTGCACAATTTTCACTTTCTGACTGAACTGTAACACACCACCAAAATATAGGCACAACATAAACAGAAATTGCTGGAGAAACTCAGCAGGTCTGGCAGCATCTGTGGAGAGCAAGCAGAGTTAACATTTCGAATCCAGTGCCTCTTCGCCAGAACCGGAATGTAGGTAACTGACTTTTCTGAACTTGTTGGTGTCAAAATGAAACCTGCCTGTTTCATTCAAGATCATTAGCGGAGAATTAAAGCAGGTTGTTTGAGCCGGAACGGCTTAAGAAAAGGTATCAATATGTGGCATTAAAATAATAATGATCAGAACATCCAGGTGACTGTGTTTGCAGGAGGCAATAGGGACATACTGGGCCTGATTTTTACAGGGTTGGGAGGAGGTGAATTGAGTGACTAGCTTGGTAAATCAAGATCAACATTTCCTGGGTAATACAGGCACTAGGTATTACTGGTTTATCACACT